GAAGCTTCCCGCATATCTGTACCTGATTTAAATGACAAGCCCCTGTACCTTAAGCTTGAGGTTAAAGCCATAGTGGGATGAGAACTTTGGGATTCTCAGAAGGGGTTAAGTATATTTTGAATATAGGAGGAATGTAAATCATTTGTGACCAGAAGGTGGACTATGGTAGATTAAGATGGTCACAAATTCTCTGATATCTCTTTCATTAATAGGTCATGCCGATGTCCCCTCTTATCGAAACTGGGAGGGTTTTGGGGCTGCTTTGAAGTGATGAGAAACCAGTTTTCAATTTTAGGCCATAAGACACTGACACCTTCCACTTGCTATCTCTTGAAAAATTCTCTCTAGGAGCCCCGTACCACAGAATTAGAAGTCTGACTACCCTGAGATTACCATGCTAGAAAGGTCATGTGAACTCAGTCTTCCACCTCTGTCCAGGAACCATATACATAACCCTGGACATGTGCCCTGACCAGGAATCGAACCTGCGACCTCTTGGTGCATGGGACGATGCTCATCCAACTGAGCCACACCGACCAGGACTCGTATCTTTTATTAAATGGAAGAGTGTCTGACACCAGTATATTTATTGCAGCATTACAACAACTATAAACTAAAAGCAATTTAAATATACACTAATAGGAAAATAGCAAAGTAGGGTACAAAGAAAAGAGACTTTATTTTTTTATTCTATATATTCTATATTTGGCATATGAAATCAATTGTTAAAATCTTTACAATAGGCATGTAACACTTGTGAAAATTTACAATGAAAAATACACTATTACAAGCTAATATTTATGACCATGTTCTACTGTCTTTAGAGCCTGAATAATCCCTTTGTCTAAGCACTGGAGAATAGCCAAAATTATTTCTCAGGAAGAATCATAACCCACCAGCATATATTTCTTCAGGCTACCTCTATTCACAGGTGGTACATAGTCTATTCAAATACATTTCCTCCTCAGGCTCCCCAACTTTCCTAAGAGGATGCCAATCCTACTCCCAACCTAGCTGACAATTAAAGCAAAAGACTCCACATCTAACTGTATCTGAGAGTAACTACATTCCAGGTACTTGTCAGGGAGTAAAATGCTAATCTTATTGTTACTCAGTTTTCACCAAAAGCTTCTGTAGAACTGCGGCATGTCTATTTAGTCCAGTCATTCATTATCCTAAATGTCTGGAGTAAGACATACCAACACTAAACAGCATTCTTTGGTTTTGTTCTTTTACTGTTCTCCTTGCTATTCACCCAGGAGAATTGTGTTTAATAAAGTAGCCTTTGATTTTTAAGTCACTAGTCTGTGTTGAAGAAAAATTTAAGAACATGTTTGGAGAACAGTCTTCAGTTATTTACTATAAGGATGCTGTTGAGATAGTTGAGTATATAGCAGTATGCCTAAAGGGATATATTTTTCTATGAATTATAATTATTAGGCTTCCACTAAGATCCTGACAAAATTTTGATCTTGTGAAAACTAGAAAACACATCTCATCTTATGAGAGGTCTCTTTAAAGAGCTAACAGCAAAATTTGTCATCCACCTCAAGCAAATACAAGAGCTTTTATGAAATGCATTATGTGTCTGACCCTTAGTCCATTGTCTCATTTTTATCATCCTTCTTTTGTTTACATTATTGAGGTACAATTTATATATCACTAGAGGCCCGATGCACGAAGATTCGTGCAAGAATGGGCCTTCCTGCCCCTGGCTGCCAGCACCGCCTTTGCTCCAGCCTGGAGGCACCTTTCTGCCTTCCCATGCTGCCCAGAGGCCCAGAGCGGTTGGGGCAGTGTGGAATGCCTGCATTGTTGCCATGGCGACGACGCAAGTGTCCTGCCCCGCCCCCAGCCTCTCAGCACCTGTGTATGCAAATTAACCCGCAATCTTTGGTGGTTAATTTGCATACTCGCTCCTGATTGGCTGGTGGGTGTCGTGAAGGTATGGTCAATTTGCATCTTTCTCTTTTATTAGTGTAGATAGGATTTACCTGTTATAAGTGTACAAATCAATGATGTTTTAGTGAATTTACCAAGGTGTAATCATCACTACAATCTAATTTTAGAACATTCTCATCACTCTCCAATATTCTCTTGAATCTATATGCGGTCAATCACTGCTCCCACCCCCAAACCTCCTCTGATTTGTTCTATCTAGATATATAATACAATTGGGATCATACCATTTTTAATCTTTTAAATTTGGCTTCTTTCACTTATCATATTCTTGAGGTTCATCCATATTACATCATATACCCGTATTTTCCTTTTTGTTTTTCCAATTGCTGAATAGTATTCCAATGCATGGACATATCACATTTTGTTTGTCCATTTACCAGTATATGGACATTTGGATTATTTCCAAGTTTTATCTATTATGAATAAAGCTACTATGAACTATCATATACAAGTCTGTGTGTGGATATATATTTTCATTTCTCTTGAGTAGATTCTGAAAGGTGAAATTTCTGGGTTAATTTTGTGTGTCAATGTGGCTGGACACAGTGCCCATATATTTAGTCTAATATTATTCTGGGAGAGTATTTTTGGATGAATCCATAAATTTAAATTGGTAAACTTTGAGGAAAGCAGATTGCCCTCTATAATGTGAGTGGGCCTCATCCAAGTAGCTGAAGGCCTGAATAGAACAAAAGGCTAATCTCTCTGAGCAAAAAGGAATTCCCCAGAAGGCTGACTTTGGATTTCATCTGCAATGTCAACTCTTACTGGTTTTCCAGCAGGCTGGCTTTGCACTCCAGCTCTTTCCTGAGACCAGCTTTCTGGCCTCTCCTACCAGATTTTGGACCTGCCAACCTCCACAATCATGTGAGCCAATTACTTAAAATAATCTCTTCCTATAGATACATCCTAATGGTTCTGTTCCTCTAGAGAACCTGACTAATATGTATGGTAAGCTGGTTTAATTTTAAAAGAAACGGTATACCTGTTCTCCAAGGTAGGTATACCATTTTGCAATCTCACCAACAATGTATGAGAGTTCCTACTTTTCCACACCTAGACACCAGATATTATCTGTATGTTTGACTATAGGCATCCTAGTGGGTAAGAAGTAATACTTCACTTTTTTTTATGTATATATGTCTAATAACTAAAGCTGTTGAGCATATTTTCACATGCTTATTCATCATTCATATATCTTTTTAAATGAAATGCCTATTCAGTTATTTTTTATAATTGGGTTATTTGTCTTCTTATTATTGAGCTGTTGGAGGTCTTTACATGTTCTGGATATAGTCCTTTATCAGATATGAATTGCAAATATTTTCTCTGTGGCTTGTCTTTTCAGTTTCTTAACAGTGTCTTTATGAAGTGCAAAAGTTTTTAATTTTAATTAAGTCAAATTTATCAATTTTTTGCTCTTATTTTCATGTTTTTGGTGTTATATCTAACAACTCTTTGCCTAGTCCAAGGTCATGAAATTTCTTCTATGCCTCTCTTTACATGTTTTATAATTTTAACATTTAGGTCCATAATTAATTTTGAATTAATTTTTGTGCATGGTTTTAATGAGAAAGTTCATTTTTTTAAATATGAATATTCAATTTTCCCAGAACCATTAGTTTAAAAGATAATCCTTTCTTTATTGAAGTCTTAGTAGCTTTGTCAAAAATCAATGGACCAAAAATGTAAGGGTTTATTTCTGGACTCTCCACTCTATTAATCTATATGCTTATCCTTATGCCAATGCCACATCGTCTTGATTACTGTCACTTTCTATTGAGTTTTAAAAACGGGAATTAACAAGGTCCTCCAACTTGGTTATTTTATTCATTTATTTAAACTTTATGTCATATTATGTGTACTAATGAATATCATCGTAAATTCTTTCTGAGAGAAGACAGATATAAATAAATCAAAAATAAATTAAACTATATTTTAAAGGTACTTTAACAATAGCATATTTCTCTTAAGATTTGAAAGTGGCAAGCACTAATGTATTCCCCTAGGAATAATTATGCAATTAAGTCTCCCCCCTCCCTACACCCATATCAACAAACATTTATGAATGCCTATTAGATACCAGGCATGGTGTAAAGTTAGGTGCTGCAGATACAAAAACAAATGAGACCCAGTTCATCACTTAGCATATAAATGGAAAATGATGGCATAATATATTATTAGTGACAGTAGAAATATGTACCATAATAGCAAGAGCAAGGGGTATTAGATTTATCTAATCAGATTTACCTAACTTAACATAATAAAGTTTTTTTCTGAAAGAAAAAGAAAAGGTTTAAAATTGTTTTTTTCCCCTCATAAAGTAAGTTTCAAAACACCAGAGAGTCTAGTACTTACAAACGCTTGGAGTAAGCAATCCTTTTATAAAGTAGAAGTTCTCTCACCAAGGAATATCTTTTAATTTGTTCTTTGTTTTTAAGGTTACAAAAGGAATTCACACTAATGGAAGAATTCAAACAGAACAAAAGTAGTCATAGTAAAATGTAAAAGTTTCATTTTACCTCTAACCCACCCTACTCTTTCCCTACTTCCCACCCCCAGAGGTAACTTATGTTATGCTTGATCAACTCCTACTTTTTTCAGAGTTACAGAAGATGCAGAGAGTATGAACTCTTAAACTTCAGACATATCTTAAGCCTTGTTTCAGATAGGAGTGCCAGCCTCTTCCCCACTAAACATGACATGAGAAGAGCTAGCAAGACTTGAAAGGTATTCTTTTTCCCTTTATAACCCATCTTTGCCTTAAAAAAAAGATAGACATTAAAAGAAAAATGAACTTAAGCAACAGACTTAAATAATGTGTGTGTATACACACTTTATAGGACAATTCCTGAAACCTGTTCTATAGAAAATTTTAAAGTGTTCTTAAAAAAGGAAGGAAGAAGGAAGATAAAAAAGAAGGAAGGAAGGGAGGAGGAAGGGAGGGAAAAAGGAAGATGGAAAGTCAGGCAGTGGGCATTTCCAAAATCAAATACATTTGGGAAATACTGAGTTAAAAATATATCAATAATACTCACGAGATGCTCCCATCTTTCATAAAATTGCTGACCACCAAACTTTTAAATCATGGATCACCTAGTAACTTCTTGAAAGACTCTAAATCATCAGAAAAACAGAGTGTGGGAAATAAGCACTGGTTATAGTTTCCCTCTCATTATCACACTGGCAGCAATTCATACAGTTGAACAAATAGGGATGTTTAGAGATATGCATAGGATCACATAAATTTGCTACTGGCCAAAAAACTAAAAATGTAAAGTCTGCAGACTATCTTAAGGTTCTCTCTTTACTTTATTGGACAAACAGGTTTTCTATCATTGGTGTATTATTTTTCCTTTGTACAATAACAGAATAAAACTACAGCTAGAAGTTTAGCTCTAAAGTAAAATGCAGTAAAATGTTTGCTTTCAATAATCGTATCTAATAAAAGAGTAATATGCAAATTGACCATCACTCCAACACACAAGGTGGCCACCCCCATGTGGACACAAGATGGCCGGCAGGGGAGGGCAGATGTGGGCGGTCAGGCCTGCAGGGGAGGACAGTTGGGGGGAACCCAGGCCAGCAGGGGAGGGCAGTTGGGAGCAACCAGGACTGCAGGGGAGGGCAGTTGGGGGCAACCAGGTCTGCAGGGGAGGGAAGTTGGGGGGGACCAGGCCTGCAGGGGAGGGCAGTTAGGGGTGACCGGGCCACCAGGGGAGGGCATTTGGGGGCAACCAGGCCTGCAGGGGAGGACAGTTAGGGGAGACCAGGCTGGCAGGGGAGGGAAGTTAGGGGTGATCAGGCTGGCAGGAGAGTGGTTGGGGGGTGATCAGGCTGGCAGGCAAAAGCAGTTAGGAGCAATCAGGCAGGTAGGCAGGCAAGCAGTTGGGAGCCATTAGTCCTGGATTGTGACAGTCGGACATCCCTCGAGGGGTCCCAGATTGGAGAGGGTGCAGGCTGGGCTGAGGGACACCCCCCCCCCCCCCCCCGTGCACGAATTTCATGCACCGGGCCTCTAGTAAGTAATAATAAGTAAATATAATCAAAAGGTCTCAATGCAAATTCTATCAATTTTTTAATTTGCTTAACAATCAGAATTTGGATATAAGTATTTAGGATATTAATGCAATAGTTGTTTTTACTGTAGAACAACCTTTAACAGGTTAAGAAATAATTACTGTGAAGTTATATTTACATAGAGTGACTACAGCTACCTCTATCAATGAAAAAAAAGTAAATATGGATCTACCTCCTTATATGTTAGACTTCAAATCAAGTTATAATTCTGCAGTGATACTGTTAAACTTGCCACTGAGATTGGATGGGGCCTTTATTACCAAAGTGTAGTCATGAATAATAACTTTTCAATATATCTTATTTCTGTCTTCCTGCTGAAATTTTAATTGGAAGAGAGAGATTTGGGAGTGTTTCCTACTGAAGTGGATCCTTATAACTAAAAAAGCTCTTGTATGTCCTCGGTGAAAGCTGTTCTGAAATTCCACTTCAGTAAAAAATAAGGAATAAATACACCATCAATGGAGAAAAGCCTCCATCATATACTTAAGCTTTTTGTTGCTGTTTCTTTACTGCTGCTGGGAACAGGAAATGTGATAACTATCACCCATATTTATAAACATCCAATAGCCTCACTCCTTTATATCCAGACCCCGACGATTTGTTTCATGCCCAACTCAACCTTCCTCTGTGAAGTCTTTCACCACTCTGTAATACAAGTCAAAATGACTTCTTCCTCCAGGAAGCTACTTGATTCTTGTTCAGGCCTCTCACTTAACATATAACATATTTAATGCACCTTCAAATTGCTGTTTAACTTGACTAGTGCATGTATCCTATTCATTGAGAAGTCTAGGAGACTTCAGATGGCAGGACCAAGTACCAGGCACAATGCTGTTTACATTAGCATTCTCTAAGTATCTATTGATAGATTACTATGCAGTGCTTTTTGACGGTCCCAGGAATAATTAATGCCTGGGAGATAATATAAGTATTTTTCTACTATGTACTAATAAATTGGGCTTATTGATTTTAGGAAATGTTAATAGACTATGATTTAACTAATTTATGACTAAATATTATTTTTTCTCATTGCAGAGCAATGTCATGGTTAGGCCAACCAGGTGTAGATCACTTAAGAACTTGGGCACAAAATGTTGTGAGGGGATTAAATACTTAATAGCAAAGGACTTTGAAAAATATAAACAGGAATGATGAGAGTAACATTATTGACATGCACATAATTACACATATATAAAACAATTAAGGATCTACAAAAGTAACGTGGCAGTCTCTTTCGTTCATTCATTCAACAAACTGTTATTGAAAAACCTACTTGTGACAGGTGTTTTAGGCATTGGGGAACTAAAGTTGATTGAGAAATATCAACCATGCATGTAGGCTCTCTAAAGCAGATCCAAACAGAATCCATCTAAAAATTCATCTACCCATGTCCATATAAAACCATATACACTTGGTTAAGTGCATAAAAACATTTTATCTCATTGCTTTAAGCAATGCAATTAGTTTTCTTTGGCCTAAATATCAGCAAACTTAAATTATCCTAGAAACTCCTTCAAAGAGACATTGTTTTGTTTCTGTTCATTCCCCAAACCCCTAGGTTCCTATGTTTTTGAATTAGGACACAGAGATGTGCTATAAGTTACACAAGGAAACTTGCCCAGAGTTGTGTCTAAACAAAAGTTCATTACCTGCTATGAGGGCAGTGCTGGCACAGTGCTGGTCCCCATTGATTTATGAGCAGCTGCTGACACATTCTTATGCTTCATAAGAGCATAACATTTTCTTCTAAAACTTAAGGCAAAGGCAAAAATAGAATACCTTTATCCAACAACAAAAATGTATATTTAAAATATTGTGGAATAATAATGAGTTGTGATATACTTTTAAAACCAGAAAAAAAGCAGAAAATAATAAGTATCTCCTTATGATCAACTACAATCTTCTGAATGGAACTGAAGCGGAAGTGTTAAAGTTTCAGGTAAGCAGCTTTATATCTGAGGCAACTTAAAATGATCTACCTATTAAATAAACTAAAAGTAAGATGATAGGTTCAAATCTACCCTTTTAGAATTAGAATCCATTTTTAAGTGTGTTTTAAGAAGGAAGAATGTAATCTTTAATAGATCAAGGGGCTTTCATTTAACTAGAAATTCACTAAACCAGGAATCAGTAGATTTTTAAATATACGCAATTAATTTGACAACAAACTTGGCTGTTGAATTTAAATTTTAAAACTAATATATTACTTCTCTGTTCTTGTTTTAAATCAAAAGGATTTCTTCTGGGACTTCAAAGGCATGAGCATTTAGCCTATCTCATGGAGGAAGGAGTGATTTCTAATCTTTAAAAACAGGAGATTTGCCTATATGATCACCTGGGACAAACTTGGCCAGTACAAGTAGGCTAGAAGGTTATAGGAGCCTGGGAATGTTTAACATCAAGAAAGAAATTACATACAGCTCAGTAAGATCACAGGGAATTACACAGGAAATGTGAACAGTAACCCTTTCATATCTCTGTACACCCCTCCCACTGCCTGTGATAAATGGAGTCCTGCTGCATGAAATCCAGCTATGGGAATACAGAAGCCAACAGCAGAGGGGGACCGGGGAAAAGAAAAAAAAGAAAACTTTATATATACACACACAGTACAACATAAATTCATAATGACATAAAATCACGTTGCTCCAAAAACAGCCTTAGCCTTTCTTATTGCCACGTATTCACTGTATCACTGCCTTATCCAACAGAGCCTTAAGTAAAAATTCCAAAGAAACTTGAAGAATCGGGCGGGGGTGGGGGGTAGAATAGTTGGCGGACTCATGGTAAGTAGGAAAACGTGGCTCCTCTGAAGCTGACCAAACAAACTGGTCTCCACCCTGGCTTATGTTTAAACATCTTGTTCCTAGTCAGTCTGGAGGGAAAACATTCTTTCCACAATAAATAATATGCAATCGAATCAGAAATTCTTACTCCAGCCTGTCTACTCGATGTAACAGTTTCTTCAGTACTGTAAGCCAGAAGCTGAGAGAATTCAACTGATTATGAACTTTTTGTTTTAAGAGTAACTTAGTTATAGTCAAGACAAGTTAAAATATTTCTAGTTGCTTATTTGGAAAAGCAAATGTGACTGTGCAGATCCTAGACTCCTTAGAGAACCCTGGTTGAGATCTCAAGAAAATAAGCTTCTCTTAATACAACTGCTTCTGGAAAAGGGGAAATTCTCAGCTTCTATAAATAGGTGAGAAAGATGAAAAACCCTTTATAATCCTCAGAGAATAAGGGCATGGGTATCCAAATAAAATAAAGAAAAATGTGATTTTTCCAATGGACTAAGTTTAAAATATGGAATGGAATTTCACAGTTCCTTTGAAATAAGATTTAACTTTTCCCATTGGTATAACTTCAGGATAGAGATGTTCTGCTACAAAGAGTAGGTCAAGAAATAAATGGAAGTGAGGACAGAGACCACAAAGCAAAACACCAATTAAAATGAAAAGGGTAAGCTTTTTAGAACTATCGAGAGAGGTAACAATAAAACCAAAGGATTTTTCCCCAGCAAAGTGCCTCCTCCAAAGCATAGATATATCTTCTTCAAGAAATAGCCTATACCTGTAGTGTTTTTGTACAATAAATGGCACATCACTCAAATGTCAACTGAGATTTCAATTGTAGACTTCCTAGTCGCCTTAAAGCTAAAGGATTAATGTCTAATTTCTGTAGCATTGGCTCACTGATAGGCAGTCCAAGGACTCTGTGACAAGCTAAAGGTCCTGCTCTTTCCATGGATTTAGAGTTGCTACAAAATTTACATTAGGAAAAACATTAGCAGAATGAGAGGAAGCAAAGTAATAAACAAAAACTTCCAAATAATAAACCAGACTTCTAATTGGGTTTCTAACCATGGAGCAGTTCCCCCATTATAGTGTGGACTCTGAAGTGCACCAAATGGAAACTCAATGGAGCTATCTCCTCATCTGGAAACAAGAGTTCACTTTCATTGTTTTTTTAAAAATATGTTTTTATTGATTTTTAGAGAGAGAGAGGAAGGGAGAGGATAGAGAGAGAAAAACATC